AAAACCTTTAAACATCAGTCAAACGTTATTAAACATCGGAAACTTCATTCTGAAGAGAGGCCCTTCTCATGTAACGAATGTGAGAAGACCTTTCGCTTTCGCTCAGACCTTAAACGACATGAAAAAATTCATACTAAAGAGAAACCCTATAAATGTGACGAATGTCAAAAGCTTTTTAACAATAACTCAAATCTTAATAAACACAAGAAAATCCATACTGGAGAGAAACCCTTTGTATGTAATCAATGTGGGAAAGCTTTTAGCCTAAAGTCAAAACTTGCTCGACATCAGAAAACTCATGATAAAAAGAAACCCTAAAAATACCGAAGTTACAGAAAGGCATTTAGAAATCATTTATCTTTTACTAGAAATTGGAAATTTAAACCAAAGAGACCAATGTGGAAAGGTTTTTAGACAAAGCCCAATTGTTCTGCATGAATTCATCCTGTATGGAATATTAGAGAGAGAAATAACACCAATGTTGAAGAAACAAGGAGATGTGATCAGAAGTGTACTTTCTATATTGCATCGACTTGATTCTTTGAGCAAAATGGCTAAACATGTTTAACCAAAACTTGACATAAGGTAGTTCCTGTGGCGAGAAGTAGACTAAGGGGCAGCTGGAAGGAGGTAGTGAACAGAACATTTTCCTTTGCTGTTGCTCATAGTCTACCTTCACTGGATGAATAAAGTCGTTTTTGGTAGAGGTGCCTCTCTAAAGGTGGGAACTCTCTGAAGATGTGAGGAGAAGATGCAACCCTCATCTAACCACAGGTGAGGAAAAGAAAAGCCAGCTCCTTGGGATTAGAACTATCAGAGAAGAAGAAACTTTGCCAGTGAACAATGAAAAGCAAAAAGCTGATCATGATTCAAAAAACTAAAGGATAAAGAGTTAAAAGAGTAGACACGAGAAATCCACAGGTTACAGGTTGGTGGGTGATAAGACGGTTTCCACCGCCTTGTCTAAATGGTATAATTCTGAGACACCAGCCTCTCTGAATAGTTCGCACCATTTGCACATGTTATCTAGAGAGCCAAGAAGTGATGGATAGATGGCAACGATTCTAGGACTTAATTTAGAAAATGGAGAATCCATTACTTACAGTGTTTTACTTGAAATAAGTTGATTTTCCATATGTTGTAATGAATAAATGCTAAGTTTTCTAGTATATGCTAACACTGGTGTGTAATGTTGAATATATTTGGGCCTTGTGTCAGAAATCAACACTTTCCTGACTCCGTCTCCATAATCATTGGTGGCAGCTTAGCCCTGTTCAGCCAAGTCAGACAAGCCCGGTCTAACAAGTCTCTTTAGGACTGGCCTCGATCCATAGAAAGTGATGGGAAGACGACATTTGGTTTCTTCTTTGGGGTCAATCAGCTTCTTTCTCGGCTGTCCCAAATATTACAGTGGCTGACATGGAGCTAAATTGTTGTACAATCAACAGATGTGGTCCATCCTTGTCTGCTTCATTCCTTATGTGTTTTTATCCTTAAGAAAAGGTCACTTTTTGCAAATCACAGACACATTATAGTCTTATAGGTTTCAAGTTATATACAAGCTGAAAATGTAATTGAAATAAATTTTTTATTTTTAAAGATTGGCAACAGTTGTTAGCTCAGGTGCCAATCTTTTTTTTTTTTTTTTTTGGTTCTGTTTTTTCTCCCCAAATGCCCCCAATACATAGTTGTATATTTTAGTTGTGGGTCCTTCTAGTTGTGGCATGTGGGAGGCCACCTCAGCATGGCCTGATGAGCGGTGCCATGTCCGTGCCCAGGATCCGAACCGGCGAAACCCTGGGCCACTGAAGCGGAGCACGCAAACTTAACCACTCAGCCATGGGGCCAGCCCCTGAAATAAATTTAAAAATGAATACAAAAGAAAGACGTTATCAATACAACTCTGGAAATGGAAAAGGTTATTGGGATAAAGAGATAATTGTGCACTGGGCCCCTTACCTCTAATTTCTGTCCTTAAAATACTGGGTTAGAGTAAAATTAAACGAAGTCTTTTATGTTTCATATGTCTTAAGAATTTACAATATGGCCATCAGGATCAAACTACCAATTCTAAAGTCTATATTATAAAGAAAAGAGAAAAAAAAAAACTTAATAGGACAGACTAGAAGAGCTTGTTCTGAAATGTCAAGTATTCCAAATTTGCCATCAGTAGATTCATTAGAAACCTAGATCCCAATGAAAATTTCCTAACATATATTCTCCTTTCTATATCTGTTGCCGTGTTTCCTAGGGGCTCTCACTCAGTCTAAGCCGTAAGTCTCCAATTATATGAAAAAGAAACGATAGCAATTATGCAAAGTTAGGCTATTTAACACAATCCCATTGAAAAGTTTCAGAAGAAATTTTTTTCTATTTCCAATGGGATTTTAATATTAAAACCACATAAAATATTGACATTGTTTAAGCAAATAAGGGACTTATAGATGATACATATCGAGAGAGAATTGCTATTGGATGAATGTTTTAACCTTATTAAAGATTAAATTATCTCTGTGAAGACAATTCAACTTCCATAGAATACAAAATTGGAGAAAGCGCACAGCATACTGTAATCTATATACACCATGTAAACAAGGCTAGATATTTGGATGAAACCAGTGGCTGCCTATAGATTTATTGGTGAGGGGTCTAAAACAAAATTTGCATAGTTTTAAACTATATTACCACGGGGCGCAAGAGCATTGACATACTCCCTCCACAGTCAGGGAACCTATTGGAGGACTCTGCCGGTTACTAATTCCGTCTCTACCACACATTCTAGGACTGAGGAAATGACCACAGGATGGGCCTGTGGTTCTACTGGCAGAACCAAGTCCTCCGTGCGATGGACTCAGGCTCAGATTCCATCTGTCTCCTGACCTTCATAAATCCCCACTCTGCCCGTGGGCCGTAGCAGTATTTGTGCACTCTAAGAATTAGCATTCTATTGGAGCCAATATCTAATTACCCATGGATGTGACTCTGAGTATCCCCTCTCCAGGGCACAGTTATGCTGGTGAACGAGCACAGTTCCCTCTGGGAAGGAGTGGGGGAGGACTCACGCTGCGCTCCGATGGCTACTTTGTAGGGCCTTTATTCAAAGGTCCTTCCTGAAGCCACTTTGGGCCTAAGAATTATGTCTGGAAACTGGGTAAGGTGCTGTGAACTCCTACTATGACCACTCAAGCCAGGCTTCTGTCCAGGAGACCCAGAAATTTTTCACTTATATGTCAAACTGTAGCTCAGAAGGCGGCCCATCTAATTTCATGCTAGAGTGTCCGTGATCAATTAGCCGTCACCGCAGGCCAAAATACCTCTGATTACCACACTGCCCTAAGGAGGGTTATGGTCATTGTGTCCACTTTGTCTCCAAAGTTTAATGCTGACACCTGGCTTCCACCAGGCCATGATCCTATTAGTTCCATTTTATTTCCAGAGGCCACTTCTAGTACCAATTACAGAATCAGTCCTAGTAGGAAACAGTGCATTCAAGAGGAGAGAAAGGAAATTGAATGAAGAGATTCTTTACAAAAGTGTGGGTAGGTTGGAGGAAACCAACAAGGGATGGTGGAACATTCAGGGCTAGCAATGGGGGAAGCCTTGACCGTCCCTAGGCCTGAAGGGGAAATGGGAGTGTGGTGACCTTATAATGTGTCACCTTGGCTTGGCTGAGCCATGTTCCCCAGAATTCCTTTCCCTGTATGTTTCTAGTGAGGGTGGGCCACAAATGACATTTTTGTGTGAAACCTGGAGGGTGGAGGTGAAGAAGCAGTTGTCTCAGTCCGTTTGGGCTGCTATAACAAAATATGACAGACTGGGTACCTTACAAAGCAGGAAACTTATGTCTCACAGTTCTGGAGGCTGGAAGTCCAAGATCACTGCATGAGCATGGTCACATTCTGGTGAAGCCTCGCTTCCTGGTTCAGAGCTGGCACCTTCCCACTGTGTCCTCACATAGAGGAAGGAGCGAGGGATCTCTGTGGGGTCTCTTATGAGAACACTAATTCCAAACCACCTCCCAAAGGCCCCACCTCCTGATACCACCACGTCTGGGGGGGTAGGATTCAACATATGAATTTGGGGGCTCACATTCAGACCACAGCAGCTTTCTGTTTTAACGCTCTGAAAGGCTGCTGTAACTCACACGTTGTTTCTGATCTGCCGGCTCTCCTGGCTGGCACGGTCAGTAGACAGGCTGCAGCCTCCCTACCTTCCCCAGGACACTTCTCTACAGAGCTACTCTGTCATGTCTCTTTTAGCACAAGTGCTTCAAAGAACTCTTCCTATTTGCTGTTTCCAGCGTGCCTCCTCCCAGAGTTCTTGAAGCCACTCCATTTTTACTGTGGTTAACTATGGTAGCTGGCCTGAGACGGCCCCAGTAATCCCCACCTGCTGGTATTCGTGCCCTTGTGTGGTCCCCTCCCACACGGTGTCAAGGTTGGTCTGCGACCAATGCATACAGGGACTGTGATAGTTAGGACTTCCAAAGCCAGGGTATGAGGGCTTCCGCTCTGCTCTCTCTCGGATCACTCACTGGCGGATGCCACTGCTATACTGAGGATACTAAAGAAGCCCTGTGGAGACGTCCCCATGATGTGGAACTGGGGTCTCCCGCTAACAGCCACGTGAGAGGGCCACTGTGCCAGTGGATCCCTCAGCCCCCGTCAAGGCTTTAAATGACTGCGGCCTTGATCAACATCCTGACTGCAAACTCAGAAAGACTCGGAGCCAAAACCACCGAGCTAAGTCACTTCCAGACTCCTAAACCAGAGGAACTGAGATAATAAATGTTCACTGATGTCTTTAAGTTGCTAAGTTTGGGGGTAATTTGTCACACAGCAATAACTAATACATTACCCTGTGTTACAGGTTAACTTGCGTCTCTCCGAAATTTAGGTTGAGGTCCTAACCCCCAGCACCTCAGGATGGGACCCTATTTGGAAATACATTGTTGCAGGTGTAATTAGTTGAGATGAGGTCGTGCTGGAGTAGAGTGAGCCCCTAATCCAATGAGTAGGATCTTTATAAAAAGGGGGAAATTGGACACAGACACGCACACAATGAGAACACCATGTGAAGACTGGAGCTACGCTGCCACGAGGCCCGGAGCTCCCAGACGGCAGGAGAGGCCGGGGGCAGATTCCTGCCCGGAGCCTTCACAGGGAGCACAGTCCTGCCACACCTTTTCCTGACTTCCAGCCTTCAGAACTGTGATACAAGAGATTTCTGTTGTTCTAAACTACCCACTTTGTGCTACTTTCTTACGCCAGCCGTAGAAAACTAATTCACCCTGATGTAATATCTTTTTTTTCCCTTTGGCTACTTTGAAGATTTTCTCTTGGTTAAATTGGTTTTCATTTTTAGGGGTCTTGAAATTTTATGTTGATGTGCCTTGTGGTTTTGTTTTTATCCTGCTTGGGGTTCACTGAATTTCCCGGATTTGTGGATTTACATTTTTCATCAGATTTGAAAAAAATTCTTCCCAACACATGGCTTTTCCATCTGTATAATATTACACAAAAACAATAAATAAAAACAACACAGTAACAGGCAGAATCCTGTTTTGCCGCATAATCCAAAGCAAGCAGGCAAGCAGAAGGCACAGGGGGCAGAGAGCTGCTGGGCAGACCTTTAGCACGCAGAAGGAGTGGGGAAAAGCAGTCCACCAGCTTCACTGATAATAAACGATGAATTTTACAAGAACAAGCAAAGAAGTATTAAAGCTGAGGGATAAATGGAGACAAATTTGATACAAAAATTATTTTTTTAATTCCATCAATAAAGAGTACAATTTTAAAGTGAAAGATGATAAAATATCATTCACAATAGCAACCAAACCTTTGAAGTGGCTATAAACAAGTTTCCCAGGAAAAAGAGCAAGACTGGTATATACTCACACACATATATATACACATATACATTCATACACATGTGTATGTTCACATGTATAAGACATACACACTCACACATACATACATATGTATATCTATGCCAATTTTACCAATTACATAAACCCACCTCATCTTCCTGGGGCAGAATGCTTAATGTGACAGAGAGGCTGGGAATGAGTTTAGGGGAAAAAAATCTCAGTCATGGAAATCAGGATCTGGAAGGCAATCCTGCCTAACCACATACACACCTATAATGTAATTCTGATTTGTATTACAGAGGCTTTTTTCCTCAGAATTTGATAAGTGAATTCTAAAGAACACTTCTATGAACATGTTTATTAGAAAATACAAAAAAATTTGCAGACTTATTAGTTGACACAATCAAACCACCGGTAGTACATGGGTGAGTGGAAGTGAGGGAAGATGAATACCAAGGAGACAAACACGGTCCTGGATTCAAACACCGTCAGAATTCTCGTTGCTTCTCTGCATTTTTTTTCCTATTGCAATTGCTGTTTTCTTGACCTGGCTGCTGGAAGCTTCAGCATCCCATGTTAGCTATCCTGTCCATCTCCCAACACAAAGGTCTTAGGAAGGGCTTTCACTAGCTTCACTTTATCGAATGCTCATCTGTGGAATAGCACTGTGGGACCAGGAGGATGGAGTCCATGGGTGGTCCTCTTAACTGCCACCTCCGCAGATACAAGGACTGGAGCCTGTTACTAGAAGACTATGAAGACAGAGTTAAAAGAAAAAACCAACCTGTCTAGCCTGAGAGTTTCAAACACTATTAATTGGGAAATTGTAAATTTCTAATTATTGTAGGAACAACTGGTGTTGATTTGGAATGAAATAAGGTTAGATCCTCACACCTGGTAACATAGAGTGTCAAGTAACAACGTGGAGAGGAATCAATCAATTTCACTTAAATAATGTTTGTTCCATTATTTTACAAGGGAGGCACACTTGACATGAATGAATTGTTGAATATTTTCACAGCTCACACTGAATGTTATACCACATTTACTAAACACACTATATTTCTCTCCTGTGTGAGTTCTCTGATGTTATGGTGAAGGTCAATTTATGGCAGGAATATTTCTCACATTAATTAGATTTATAAGATTTCACTCCTCTGTGCATATTCATAGGATTTTAGCCTATGAAATTATTGTGTAAATTACTTGTGTAATTGTGTAAATTATTTGAATTGCTGCTTTCTTGGAAGTCACTCCTTATGAGTTTTCTGATGTAAAAGGAAGTTTGATTTGTGGTGAAATGTTTTCTTGCATTTGTTACATTCATAGGGTTTCTGCCCTGTGTGTATTTTCTGATGTTCAGTGAGAGTCCACAGCTGACGATAGGTTTTCCCACATTCTCTACTTTCATAGGGTTTCTCTCCTGTGTGAATTCTCCAGTGTACTCGGAAGGCTGACTTGTGGCAGGAGGATTTCCCACATTCATTACATTCATACAGTTTCTCCCCAGTGTGAGTTCACTGATGTTCGATGAAGAACTTCTGGCAGAAGGTTTTCCCACATTCACCGCACTCATAGGGTCTCTTTCCTGTGTGCATTCTCTGGTGGTGAGTGAGGGCTGACTTCCGGCAATAGGTTCTCCCACATTCGTTACATTCATATGGTTTCTCCCACATAGTTCTCTGATGTTCAACAAGGTGTGTGTTTTTGCTGTTGGCGTGCCCACATTCACTACACACATAAAGATTCTTTGTGTGCATTCTCTCACATTCATTGTGGTTTGACCTTACAAAGAATGGTCTACTGCATTTCTTAAACACATGGTGTTTGGGTCCTGTGTGAGTTCTTTGATGTACAATGAGTGTTGACTTATGGCAGAAAAATTTCCCACATTCACCACACACATAAGATTTCTATCCTCTGTGAGTTATCTGATGTGCAATGAGGGCTGGTTTAGTACATAAAAAATTTCCACACTCACTGCATTCATAGGGTTTCTCTCCTGTATGAGTTCTCCAATGCACACTGAGGGCTGACTGACAGAAGAAGGTTTTCCCACATTCCTGACATTCATTTGGTTTCTCCTCTGTGAGTTCTCTGATGAACAGCAAGGTAAGATTTCTTGCTGGAGGCATTCCTACATTCCTTGCATTCCTAAGGTTTCTCCCCTGTGCATGACCTGAAATCTTCAGTGAGGGCTGACTTCCGAAAGAAGGTCTTTCCACGTTCATTACACTCACAGGATTTCTCCCCTCTGTGAATTTTCTGAAGTACAATGAGGGCTGATCTGTCAGTGAAGGTTTTCCCACATTCACTGCATTCATAGGGTCTCTCTCCAGTGTGAATTCTTTGGTGTCGAGTGAAGTTTGTCTTCACATGGAAGGTTTTCCTACAATCATTACATACATAGGGTTTCTCCCCTGTATGAATTCTCTGATGTACAATGAGGGTGGACTTCTTAGAAAAGGTTTTCCTACACTCATTACATTCATTTGGCTTCCTCTTCTGTGTAATGAGGACTACCCCTTTGAAGAAGGTTTTCCCACATTTACTATAGTCAAGAGGTTATTTCAAAGTCTGAATGTTCTGGTAGAGCATAAGATCCTCATTTTGACTTCTGGCTTTCCTCATTGGATTATACTTGTATTTTTTCACTCCAGAATGACTTTTCTCATCCTTAGAGTAGAGCAGTGTTTCCCACCTCCACTGTATTCATCAGGAACCTTTTAAAAATAGCTTTCCTTTGCAAGACTTACTTCTGAATGAGTTTTCAAATTGTTTCCAGGTCGATCATATTTGTAGCATATTTTTCCTGAGGGAACAATATTCAGGCCCTGATTAAATGTTTCCCCAAATACAACAGCTCTCTCTGTAATCACTGTTCTACTTTTGGAGAAGACAGTGTGCCTCAAATGGCTACCTTGGATTTCCCTGTCCTTCTTTGAGGCACCACTGATGTCTAGGAAGAAGCACAATTAACAATAACCTGTGAGTCTTTACACATTTGCTATGAAATGAGAATTCCTTACAAATGCCTTGTTGTGGGGACTGGACGTCAGGTCCAGCCTCTCAGGATTAAGGAAATGTCAAGTGCAAACCTCTCCTACTTGATTTGGGGGAAAACCAAAACCAAAAAATAAAAAGCAAGCTCACCCACACCAGCCTGTTTGACAGGGTGAAAAGAAGAGGAAACGAGAAAGAATACAAGTCCCTTTGACAGAGACAAAGTAAAACAGTCCTAGGGAAGAGTGAGCACAAAGTGTCCTGAAGTGTGGCTGACAGTAGAGAATAAGGGGGACAGGAGTCACGCAGGCCCTTAGAGGACGACAGTGAGACAGTGAGACGAGGAGAAGGAGACTTCAGACGGATGGCCACTACTACAGAGAAACAAGAACAGGGGTCAATCTGAAATTCTGGCAGTGTCATGGGAACTCTGGAATTTGCAAAAATCAAAAGGAGAATGTGGGCCGAGCAGGGTAGGGACTACGGTGAGGGTAGCATGACCTGTAGGGCATCTGCATGACCTTGAGAGTGACTGTCTCCTTAAGTTTTGTGCCCGAGGCACCTTGTTTGTGTCACCCTAGTCCCCACCCTAGTGGGGCTGAGAATGGAAAGTGAAACTGAGTGATTTCTCAGTTAAAGGAGGGAGAGAAAAACAGAAGGTAACCAGACAGATCACGCAAATCAAGCAAGATTTATTTTTTTAAGATAGATCTATAAAGGTCTGAATATACAACAAGTGTATCATGACAGTGTGGGTGGCAGGTAGGCAACAGAGTATGCCACAGAAATAAAGTCCAAGGTGTGTGAAAGAGGGGCTGGATTCTGGGGACAGATAACTTAGGGGCAAAAATCTTTATAAATTTCAATCAAAGAAGGAGTACATTTATTTGGGAACAATATTTTAAGTATCTCTAGCATGACAGTTAATTGTCCTCAATTACTTCTGAAAGTTTGGAGCCTATAAAAAAAGAGATTCCTGAGAAACATTACACAGATGCCTGCCACAATCATTAACCACCTTGGAACCCATTTTCTCTGGTTTCCACCTGCTCAGTGATCACTGACAGTTATCACTTACCTGAGTGGTTCCGCCTTGAGAACTCCTCCACTATCCATGGTTCTTCTCCTTGCTCCAATCTGAAGATCACATCTGGTTTGCTAATGTGATGCCCTGTTAATGGGAAGTGATGCAGAACTTGGACCAAGCTATATGGATGTCAGGGACGCTGAAGCACAAAGAAAGTACAGCTTTAGAAGCTGCGTGATGAAGATGCCCAGCAACAGGTCAGTAAAGCTAGAACAGTGACAGGAACTACAGGGTGGGGGTGGGGGGGCAGTGAGTGTACAGACACACACACATCCACTGCCTAAATCATCTTCCTCCCCTGACACTCAAGGTTAAATAATTAAATGCAACATGTGTTTGAGACACAGAGCAGACGCACGCTCTTGGCAGCTGCCTGTAGTCCTCCAGCATCACATCCCTGTACGGGAGCCTCTGAGTCGGGTCCAGCTGCTGCCACTCGTTCTGGGTGAAGTCCACAGCCAGGTCCTTGAACGAAGGCGATCTCTGAAAGAAGACGTTTAATCCAAGGTGAGCAGAAGCCCAGTGTATTCCTGGGGGGGCACCTCTCCTCTACTCTGGGGACCACTCTGGTGAATAACAGAAATCCACGAAGAGATATTTGTTAGCAAGGACTGAAGTTCTGTAATCAAATGTGTATTTTAGAAGCAATGCTCTAGAGTATAGGGGTCACCAAACTACAGCCCGTGGGCCACATCCAGCCCCCTGGGAGCCAAAGCTGGCCAGCCCATTCATTTACATATTATCCACACTGCTTTCACGCTATAGCAGCTGTGTTGAGTACATCTGACAGAGACCATATGGCCAGCAAAGCCAAAAGTAGTTATTATCTTGTCCTTTAAAGAAAACGTTTTCTGTCCCCAACTCTAGGAAAATGGGAAATGGTTTAAAGGTCAAATTAGAGGGGAAGGAAACTAGGACAGCACTGTGAGACATGAGCACAGGTGGTTCCAGAGCAGGTGGGAGGAAGGGAATCAATCCCACATGACGGGGAGCAAGAGGAGTTGGCACTGATTGGTCGTGCACGGCAGGTATCATGTCCAGATTATTCTGCATGATCAGCTGGTAGGATCCCATACTGAGATTAGGAAAACAAAACAAGAACTGAGCATAGGAAGCTAACGCATTTCTCTTTATGATGCTGTGCTTGAGTCTGTGGAAGGTACAAGTAGAGACGTCGAGCTTGCAGCTGGATATTTGGTTCTGAAGCTCAGAGGACAGAGAAGAGAGAGTGGTGGTCAAAAGTAGTATTTGAAGGGGCTGAGTGGTTAAGGTTCCACGCAGTCCGCTTCGGTGGCCTGGGGTTCACGGGTTTGAATCCTGGTGTGGACCTACTCTGCTCATCAGCCATGCTGTGGAGGCATCCTACATACAAAGTGGAGGAAGACTGGGAGGGATGTCAGCTCAGGGCGATCTTCCTCAAGCAAAAAAAAGAAGAGGCTTGGCAATGGATGTTAGCTCAGGGCAAATATTCCTCACCAAAAAAAAAAAAAAAAAAAAGGCAGTATTTGAAGGCATAAATAATGAGGAAGATGTCTATGAACCAATAACCAATATGGAGTGATTTTCAGGCTATATTTAAGTGAAAAAAAGCAAAGTGCAGAAGAATACCTACAGTATGCCAGCTTTTATGGAGGAAAGAAGGGGATATAAGAAAATATGCATGCAACTGTTCATGTGTACAAAAAGAAATACACATAGGATAAACCAGAAACTAATGAAATCAGTGACTTTCAGGGGATAGCGGGAACAGATGAAAGGGTGGGGGATGGGAATCGAGTAGAAGGGATGGGGGGAAGTGACACTCCTCTAAGTATATCTTTCTACATGGTCTGATTTTTATAACTACAGTAGTGTCACATAACCCCAAACAGACACTTAAAATAACCAGGATGTGGAAGTGGAACCCCAAACAGAATACAAACAGTAACAAACGAACCTAACGACATTAAATTAAACAACATAACTACAGTGAAGGGATGAGGAGGAAAAGCACTGACCCAAGTGCCTGTGGAGAAGAGGCTTCAGCCCACATTCTAAGGCTAACGACAAGAAGAGCTGCGCTCGATACTTGAGCCGGGAGAGTCCTCCTTCACGGGGCGTGTGGACCAGCGATTCTTAAACAACCTCATGTGTCTGCCCAGATGAGCAAAGTAAACACAATGTAGACCCCGAGAGCCTCGTCTCTCCCTGTCAGACGAAGGAGTGACAAAGGAGGAAAAGGGAAGGCCAGAAGGACCCCAACAAAGCAACTGGCCAGTAAAGTGTCAAGGTCACAAGAGACAAAGACAGACTGTTCCAGACCGCAGGAGCCAAGGAGACACGACAACCAATGCAATGTGGCACCCTGGGCGGGATCCCTGGACCAGAAAAGACATCAGTGGGACAATCGGCAAAATATTCCTGAGTAAGATGGATAATAGTATCGTATTAATGATAGTTCCCTGGTTTTGATCAATGTACTATGGTTTTCAAGGGCCAGGGTACGCATACTTTGCGTATGATTTTCCTAATTCTTTTGTAAGTCTACAACTATTTCAGCCTAAAGCAGCAAGAAAAGGAGTGACCTGCCCGCCTCTGCAGATACTTGGGTACCACACACGCCTCAGGACCCCAGATGCTCGTCTTTCCTTTCAACCCCCTATACATCTTTATACTGACACACGTTATCAGATAATTTAACCACATTCTTCCTTCTATCATCGCTTAACTGTTTCCCACACATAAACTAGAAGTAGTCACATTATCCATATTATTTCCTCCATGAATTACTTCCTCCTAAGAAGCTGTGAGCTTTCTGATGATAAGCAGTTATCTTATAATTATAGGCATAACATTGGACATATCAGGTCTTAATGACTAGAAAGAATGACTGGCAAAAATCTGAGAAAGGGCCAGTGAGAGAGAGAGCCAGACAAGTGGAGCCCTTTATGCACTGAGGCAGACGCAGCCGCACTTAATGGCAGAAGGTGCAAAGCGAGAGCAGTGGATGTGCTCACTTTGTGAGGGACTGAATGGCGTTTGTAACAAAAGAAAAAGCCAATTCACCTGGTCACTCAGGGCGACTCTCTAAGCAACTTGGTAAGTGGGACGGTCATCCATTCAGAGCAGAGAATAGTGTCCAGATTCATGCACAAGACCACCCGCAAACGACTGATGGGCACCATGAGCAGCACAGGGCAACACACAGCTCAACACAGGAGCTGCCCCCGCCCTTGAAGGCTCACGGTGCTACGTGTGAGGTGGACACGCAGATGACGCCCAGGCCCTTCATGGAACGCAGAGATGGAGACAGCCTGCAACGCTACGCGAGCATGCCGCCCAGCGAACAAAGATAAAAGGGCAGGAAGATCAATGTGAAGATGAAAGGTGTAGAGTCAAGGGGCAATCAGTGAAAACAGGAGTGTAAAATGTGGGGCATGTTCAGGAAACGAAACGCAAATTACCATCCCCCTGCGGTGGATCTCGGCATGGGTGACACCTTCTGCGAGGGGCATTTCGCACACCTGTGGAGGCATTTTTGGTTGTCAAAGTTCTATGGATGCTGTTGGCACTTGGTGGAGGGAGAGGTAACAGGGGATGGAAGACATCCCGCAACATGCAGGACAGGCCCATATGGGAAATAGATGTCCCAAGTCTTGGATAGCTTTCTAGTACCCTAAATAGTCGTACAGATGAAAAATTCTGTTTACAATGATCTGAGCCTATTACCTTATTCCATTTTGCATTTTAACACATAGTATTTTTAGACATGTTCTTATGTACTCGAAGTTCTCCTGGGATGCAATATCAGGGACATCAAAGGAACACTGTATTGGGTTTGGATTGGAACTTTAGGGATTTTCACTCTTTTGTGAAAAATATCACTAATGGCAATGCTGCTCATGGTATTTGAATCATGAAACATCACACCTGTATCGGTGTAAATTCGTAAAAGCAAATTTGTAAAAATTTGTAAAACAAAGAGTTACAAGTTAAAACCACAAGGGGAATGAAAAAAAATCAGGCAGAATAATGGGCTAACAATGTAGGTGAGAGGATTCCATAAAAGATATAAAGAAGAAATGATTAGAGAGCTAAGAAGACCATGTGAGTGGTAACAGAAATTATCAGAGGTGCATTTCAAGGAGGTGGTCATACTGTCAAATGCAACAAAGAGGTTAGGAAAGCATGGACTGGTACCTCTTCCCTCCAAGCCACACCCTCACGAATCCTCCAACCCGGTGTCTTTTCCTGTCAAATGGGCACCCTGCCCATTCCCTTCAATTTCAGCTCACATCTTCCATCTGGAGGTTGAACTGAAACTTTGCTGAGCCACAATAATCACCGATCTCTGGAGACGGTGTTATCGCGCAGACTTTGCTCACGCTGGAGAGGAGCTGGAGAGGAACATTCTGGCCCAGGAACTCTTGGACATGTTCCTTTCAGGGATTTTGCTGCTTCCATGCTGAATTCTAGGGAGAGGGTTCAGTTCAGGAACGTGCTCTTCCACGTGTGATTGTGATCCTGGGGCTTTTTACTCCACTGCGAAGTCTCTGTTTCCACCCGGGCCAGGAGCCACACTTCCATTAGCAGAACCTGCACTTGGAGCCCAGGTTCAAGTGCCCGCCAAGCTGGACCTCTTCTAAAATCGGCTCAGGGTTGCTGAGGAGTGAGCCAACAGTGCAGGATGCAGGAAGAGCCTACAAGCTTCCATTATGCCTTGTGATCTAAGGAAAAATAGGTCAAATGGTCTGAATGCCAAAATATATAGCATATTATATATGCTATAGGGCACACATAAGGCAAGTCATTGTGCCAGAGAAAATCCAAGGGGTGTGGGTAAAGGGGACGTATATTACAAAGATCATGAGACTAGGAGTAAAATACACCTCGTTTTAAAACTCAACTCATTCACCAGTGAGTAAATCACTTTAGTTCTCTGCAAATGAGGTTTTTAAATTGTGCTCCAACAAGGGTGGTAATGCCAACCTCACAGCCTGGGTGGGAGAACTGAGCAAGAGATCTAGAAATCGTTGTAACATTGAGAGCAGGGAGTACTTAACGAGGGCGTATTATATTCTGGGCTTGATCTTCAGAGCTATTTCGTTTCACCTCGGAACAACCTGATGAGGTAAATATTATTCCTATGCTCATTTTATAGATGAGGAAAGAGATGAGTCTAAGTAACATGGCCAGGGACGCAGTGCTGTTTCATGGCAGGACCTGAGCTGAATCCAAACATCAAGCTCTTAAAGCTTCATGCAACGCTGCAAACATCTCAGCACCGCGCCCACCAAATCCTTCACTAAAATCTTTTCCAGTCAAATCTGCACCCTGGCCATTCCCTTCAACTGCAGTTCACATCATTCTTCTAAGTACTTTGCATAAAATAAACAGATGCTAATAATATTTAATTCTCATAATAAATATTTGTTCCCTTCCCTGCTGCCCCCTAGTACTTTTCAGTCCAGCCCGGCAGGTTGCAGATCCGAGCGCATCGGCGAAGCTTCTGGAATCAGATCCACTAGGATGCACAAACCTTTCAACCTCACAGAGCACCTTCTTGGGGCAAAAAGGGCCACGCAGAGAGCCCGCCCTGAGACCTGCAGGTCAGGAGCCCAGCCTTGCCCTCGGGACCATCGCCAACCCACTTCGGGGCTTCCCTCCTGCGGGATGCGGGGAGAGCCCGTGTCCACCCTCCGCGGGCCGAGGTCAGCTCCGCCCAGCCCCATCCCTCCCTCCGGCCCCCGAGGGCTAGGAGCTCCCTGCCCGCGGTTCCTCCATCTTGTGGATGCACCCGCGTCGCTTTCAGGTCACACCATGGGCAAAGGACGCCGACGCGAGACGACGCACAGGCTGCAGGACCCTCCCCCGGAAGGGCCTGGAGAACCGGAAACCGCGCACAGATAGAAAAGTAGGGATGGCACATGCGCAGAAGGAGCCGCGGAGTCGCCCTTCCCAGTATTCCCCGAGGGTCGGCGGATGCCTTTCCGGACTACATTCCCCATGAGGCACCGCGGCCGCGCCGTGAGCGGCGGGCTCCTTCCAAGAGCTTCTGCTTTGATCAGCGAGCTTGGTTCATTGCTTTCAACCATGAATACAAAAAGAAAAGTTGCATATGAATTTCACCGAAGGCTAGGTTACAGGCCATGAAATGTCCACCAAAATGCTAATGATCCCCAAATCCTGATTTTCTCCTAGACTTGTCTTATGAACACCACAGCCGTATATGTTACTCTTTCTGCTGATTTTCCCACTCGGTGTCAGAAAAAACAGCGCAGAACAATCCCTAGGAACGTTTTAAATGTGAGACAGCTTTCTGTGTATCTGAGATCTCATAAAGGAGCAATCCGAAGAACATAATCAATACAGTAAAGCTGAAGAACGTCATCAATACAGTAAAGCCTTCACCTGTTTTGGTGAATCCATATAAATATTTTGAATGTATGAAAGTGATGCAGGGTCGGCGAGCTGAAGAGTTGAAAGAAAGATTTCTTGGACTCTCAAGGTCTGGCAGCAGTGCTCTTTTATTTAGAGAATAGTGTGGAATAGCACGGGGACAGGACCCATGGGCAGTAAAGAGCTGCAGTGTGGGGACAGGACCCACAGGCAGGAGGAGATGCTGTTGCTGCTGCAAACATGGGTTGAGGGTAGGGCTAAATTTAAGGCATAGGTATGTGAGTTATCTCTTTACAAGACAAGGGAAAGAATATGTAAAAAGAGTTGTTAAAATGGTATCAGTGCCGGTGGGGTCTGGTTATTGGGTGGTCCTATACCTTTTAGATAAGAATCAAACTGCCTTAAGTAAATGGCAGAAGCCACCACCTTAAATATTATCCTCAGCTAAAGACAGAGGAGGATGTTGGTGGTGGTGGGAGTCAGCTACATGAGGTTACCAGACAAACACAATAAACAAGACTTAAGTCCTTGCTGTCCCTGTTAAGAGTTTCTCGAGATAAGGTCATCCCCGCTTCCTCCTAGTGCAGAGAGGGAGACACCCCCCACAGATGGAGACTTCCTTCACAAATGCAAATGTCTCTCATCAAAGGGCAAGCAAATTCCACTCCTCAGAGCCTCCTTCTCATCTGCAGTTTTTAACAGTAACCAGCCTAAAATAATCCTCATCATAAACCCACCCCTGAACCCATTTGGCAGTAGAATTCAAAATTTATCCAAATGTTCCTGCTGAAAGGAAATATGTCAGTGGGGGACTTTGTGTGTCTTGCCCGGCTTATCAGTGGCTTGGAAGGAGCAGGATTGAAGGATTGGCTGGAAGCAAGAATAACCAAGGAAAAGACGTGTGGAAGAACTTATGAGAGTGGGCACATGTTGTGAAGATCTTTGTGTTCGTTTTCTATGACTATGTAACAGATTACCACAAACTTAGTGGCTTAAAACAACGAGAACGTAATTATCTGGTCACTTTTATAGGTTAGAAGTCTGGGCATGATGTGCTGGATTCTCTGCTCTGGGTTGAAATCAAGGTGTCACCTGAGGCTGTGGTTCTCATCTGGCACTTGGGGTTCTTTTCCAAGCTCGTTGATTGTTGACAGAATTCATTTCCTTGTGGTTGTAGGACTGGGGCCCCCATTTTCCTGCTAGTATGTCAAGCAGGTTCCACTCTCACCTCCTTACTGCATGGCCCCTATGGACAGTGCATAACATGAATGTTGTTTCCTTCCAGGCCAGCAGGAGCATGTCTAACTTCCTTTTTAGTGACTAGTTGGAGAAAACTGCTTTTAAAGGATTAATGTGATTAGGTCAGGCCCATCAGGATAATCTCCCTGTCTTAAGGTCATTTTACTTGGGACCTTAATTATATCTGCAAAATCCCTTCACAGCAGGACCTAGATTAGTGTTTGACTGCATAACTGGAGCAAAGTGTGTGTAGACAGGGGCCAGGCCTCTTGAGGGACCACCTTAGCATTCTACCTCCCACAGTGCTTCATTTAAATGCTCATCAAAGAACATTGACCAGGGGGACAGAATTACTAATCCATGGATGTCTTCCTCCACATCAGTGCTTGCACAAGAAGCCTATTTATTCACTGAGCAGCCATTATAACAAGGATAGAGGTAAATGCATGAGCCAGCAACATAGGTCACCTCTCATCAAGGCTGATCTAACTACTGTTGCTGCTGCTACTGAACGTCTGACTTGTCATCCCAGAGATCAGCACTGAGCCCTTGATAAGGTGCCATCCACTGAGAAGAGCAAATAGCTTCCTGGTGGAAAGTTGATCACCTCAGACCCCTTTAACCCTGGTTCAGGCAAGCATTCAACCTTGCCAAAAGTGACATGGGCTTTCGATGTGGATTTGCTTTCTTGACCACCATGGATCTGTGTCACTATTTGAGTACTTACAAAACACCCGATTTGCTGACATGAGCCTGCATAATATCACTTCAGACCAAGGGACCCATTTTATAGCACAGGAGGTGTGACAGTGGGCACATGACCCTGAGATCCGCTAGTTCTACCATATATGGCATCAGCCTGATAGACCTGTGATGTGGCTTATGAAAGGCTCAGCTAAGGCAGAAGTTTTTGAACAATACCCTGAGGGTTGTGGGTGCTGTCCGCCACGATGTGGCATATGCATGGAACCAATCGTGATACGTGATGATGTGTCCCCAGTAGTGAACAGACGAAGCGATGAGGGTAGGACTGGCCTCTCCCACCGTCACTCCCACTTGCAGAATCTATACTTCCCTTTTCCACAACTTTAGACTCTGTTGGGACAGAGATCTTGGGTCTTGGAGGGAATGGTGGACAGTTCCACCAGGAAACACAATGATAAATAAATGCCATAGCCTCCAGGCCTTCAGGAGAATTCTTCTACAGTGTTCTGTATGCGTTTCAGAGGTTCCCTATTGTTTACATCAGTGGCCCTAATAACACTCCCTGACGCTGGCTCTCCTCCTTTCTCTCATTCTCTCCACACCCTCATTCCTACTTCCTGGCATCGCCTCCCAGATAAATTACTCGCACCCAAATCCTTGTTCAGGCTCTGCTTTTAGGCAAAGTGTTTATATAAATAAGTGTGTGCATGGCTCAGCTATTCCATAACCCGGGAACTATATGCACTTTTACATAACATGATACGGTGACATGGTATGTCGTGCCCTGTCCTCCCTTCCTGGCATTTCTTCCAACCAGAGGGGGAAGAGAACGAAGATTTGAATTGAAGATTGTAGAGTTGAAGTTTTGTCATTCATTCACTTTGAATGAAGATTATAGAGTTAATAGGTAGGTCTTTGCAATCTAATTACTAAATAGATACTGTGTGTGTGGTAAGCAATTACAGGTCTGCCTATTCACCTAAGAGTAGGCATAAAACTCCTGGAGGCTGCTGAGATTTTATCCAGTGGGAGCTTTCTTGAAAATAAATGTAAAGAGTAGTGGAGGACTAAAATTTGCTCTTAAAGATTCTTTCTCAAGATGCGCTTTTCCGGCATACCAGTTACATTCACAAAGATGCTTATAGAAGGATATTCACTGCAGCGTGGTTTACAATAGAAAGAAAGGAAACAACCTAAATGAACACTGGTCAGGAATAACTAGGTAAGTGCTGGTGCATGCACACAATGGAATGTTGTGTGGGCCTAAGAATAAATAAGGTTGTTTATATGCTGGAATTTTAAAATGCCTGTGATAAACTCTTACATGAAATAAACCAAAACGCAAACAAATATATAAAGCATAATTCTTTTACAGATACATGTTTGGATAAAGATATGCACATTTAAATAGATATGACTGTAACCATTTAGATAAAATTTAGAAGGATATGCTCCAGAATGTAACAAGGGTAATCCACGGGATATGAGAGTGTTTAGGAGGAAGATAGAGCTTTGCTTGTGCATCTGTATAATTTTTCTATGAAGAAGTAACAGTTTTTCCACTTTGTACATGAAAGATCCACACAATGAAAGAGGAATGTAAAGGCATTCTTAGCCTATTAATTGCATTTGAATTTCAAGTGTGTGTGTGTAAAGAGAGATATAGAATACACACACACATAAAGGTCCTCATTGAGATAAGCACTGAAGAAAAGACTAGAACAAAAACATCAAATATTTATCACTTATAGGTACAGGTTTACAGGTAAATTTTGTTTTTGATATTAAGTACTTTTCTTTTCAAAAATTTCCTTAGCATTGCAGTAACTCGTCTGTCCTCAAATCATTCCTGCCATCTTGCCATCTGTACTGGTTTGCCGGGGCTGCAGTACCAAGGTACCACAGACGGGGTGGTTTAGACAACGGAAATGCCTTGTCCCACTGTTCCGGAGGCCGGAAGTCTGAAATCAGGGTGTCAGCGGGGCTGGTTCTTTCCGAGGGCCGTGAGGGAGCTCTGCCCCGTGCCTCTCTCCCAGCTTCTCACAGCCTCAGCTTCCTTGGCTCGTAGATGGCCTTCTCCCGGCGTCTTCACATCCTCTTCCCTCTGTACGTGTCTGTCTCCATGTCCAAATCCTCCCACGCCCTTTTCCTGTAAGGACACAGTCATATTAGATTAAGGTCCACCCAAATGACCTCATCTTAACTGAATCATCTGCGATCCAAATAAGGTCACATCGACAGGTACCGGGGATTAAAAGTTCAACATCTTTGAGGGGGACATGACACCATCCAATGATTTTCCTGATAGCTCTATTGGGATGAAATTAATCATGACCTCATATTTACTTTGATGTGTGTATGGGCATCTGTCTTCAGAGTTACTTGGGTAATACGACATAAGTGGGTCTCAGAAGAGGAGAACGCCGTGCACTAAATCTACGGCAGAGTCAGTGAATCTCAGGCTGACTCCAGCACACAGGAGATGCTCCAATAAACATTTGTTGAATAAAAGGTTTAAAAAAGAAAGGAGAAAATAATGCAAGAATGAGGAAGAAAACAGGGAAAGAAACAGAGAGGGGGATGGGGTCTGAGTTCTACAGCTTCCCAGGTCCCCAGCTCTGGGGCTCAATCCTGGCCAGCACAGAGGTCAGGGACGACCAGTTCCCAGAGATGATGAATAAGGCAGGACAGTCTAGGGGAGGGGAGGAGAGGGGAGAAGAGAGGAGAGAAAGTGGGATGGAGGCACGGAGGCTGGGGAAGAGGAAGATAGTGAAAAATGCAGTTTCCACTGTGACCACTAGGTGACAATATTAGCACGGGCCTGCAGCTGTCAACTGCCAGGATGAGCTTTGTCGCCCAACTGAAGTCTCCCGCTGCTATTAACCTAAGTGGACATCTGTTGGTTTTTTTTTGTTTGTTTTTTGGGGTTTTTTTTTGTCCTCCTGACATCCACACCACCTTTTTCTGATAACAAGCACTTCAATTTTCCTTTGGGGAACTATCTCACTCCCATTAAGGTCTGCCATATACACTCGCAGAGGCTGTGCACTGTACAACTCCAGCGGATCCATCCATTTGGACTGCTGAGTGATGCTCATGGGAATTGAGCAGTGCCCAACCTATAGAACTGTCAAAGGCAGCCATTGAACAATGGTCCAATAAGTCACCCATCTTACTCCTGGCCTGGGTGGAGCTGATTCATTCTGACACGGATGCCAGGAAGCAATTGCCCAGTAATTTCCTGCTATGGGGATCTTTGGAGCTATCCTGGTTCTGGTTCTTTCCAACTCCAGTGATTCCTTTCTGATTTAGTTAGTCAGAGATGCTTTCTTTTGCCAACAAAGAACCGCAACAAGCAACAATCTATACCTCGAACCTCCCTCAAACGGAAAGCCAGACCCCAGCAAAGGGTGTGGAGTACTAAGGTTAAAGCTGGTCTTTACTCATTATCCATTCATTTGTTCACACAGTAAATATGTGGGGTACCTGCTGGACACCAGGCTCTGTTCTAGGTTCTGGGATACAGCAGTGAAAAAGCCAGACGTGGGTCCTGCCTTCACGGGATCTGCCTACTCAGAACATCCACAGTATATGGATAATCACAAATAGCTAGAGTTCCAATTGTGAGAAGTATTGTGAAGGAAAAGAATGGGATGCTATGTGGAAGATATTTCAAAATAAATAGCATTTATTTTAGCCTTGCTATGTAGAAGCACTTTCCGTGCCTTATAACAATCACCAGAACAATGCTGTGGGTTAAGCACTACTGCAGGTCCTGTCTCACAGATGCAAAAACAAAGCTTACATTAAATAGAAACATATATAATTAATAATTTACAAATATAAATATAAGTGGGGTTTCCCAGGATGCAGAACTTTCAATACTAAAACTGACGCAGTCCTGGGAAAATGGGGACAAGTTGTCACTGTAATCAATATGTTGGCTAAGGTCGCACTGTTAGGGAGTGATGGGGTGGGTGCTGACTCCAGATCTAGTTTGAGTCCAAAGCTCATGTACACAGTGACCACCCCACGGGCACCTCAGATGGTGTGGGCCGTCTTTGGAGAAATGGAAGCGAGCGGGAGAGGCTGAAGGCAGGAGGTCAGAAAGGAGGCTGAGGCACTGGTCCAGCAAGGGATGGGAGTGGAGGTGAAAGGATGGCTTTCACCGTTCAGTAACTGTTTGGGTGTGAAGGGTGAAGAGGGCAGAAGAACTGGGATGACTCAAGGGTTTTGGCTCAGAATGGGGTGGAAGTGGTCCACGGGGAAGAGGAAGAACTCAGATTGGCCATGTTGGGTTTGCCATCCTGATAGAAATGTTAGGAGGCAGTTGGAGAAGAATCTCAATTAGAGAATCCTGGTAGCTTGGCTTGTCAGAGCCCAGAGATGCGTTAGAGATTTATGCCTCAGGATCAGCCAGAGTTCCTGGTTGCAAACAACAGGCACTGACTTCTGATAAAATAAGCAAAAAGGGGACTTGTTAAGAAGGATATTGGGAGGCTCGTAGAACCAAGATAGAATACAAGAGGCAACCGAGGTAGGCTGGGTAGTAGGAATCAACTGCAGGACCCTCTGGTGGGGATGCCACTGCCACCACTGCCCCAGGACATTGGATGCCACGCTGCTGTCTCCGCTTCCACAGCCACTGAATAACGGCTACCAGTGCTGCTGTTGCGAGCGCAAATAAAACACTCTCCCTGTGCATTTGTATCAGTTGCAGAAGAGTCAAGTCCTGGGAAGAGGCATCTGATGAGCTGCGCCAGGTCACACGGCCCACGAGCCCATGCCAGGGGACAGAGAGAGTGAGTCCCTGGCTTGTCAGTTTTCCTCTTGGGAGAAGGTGCCCTGCCTTCTAGCGACATTCACACAGTGGATGATTTCCCATATACAAAAAGGATGTTCAGATGCCAGGTAGCCAAAACGAATAAATGAATGATAATAAAACGTCTAGTATGACTCCTGCAGCTCTCAGATACACTCACGCCATTTTATAGAGGATGCTCAAAGCAAAGCCCTGTGGTGCAATGAGCAGAGTGGTCCAGAAGTTCTCCCGGGGGTGCCCGGACACTGAGCCAGCGAAGTCATGCAGCGGGAAGCGCTTCCCTCTTACCTCCCTTGAGAGCAGGGTCCTTTCCTCAGCAGAGGGGGCTGTACCTTCCCATGGTCCCCAACATCCTCAGAGCAGCTGGAGCCCCTAGGCAAACCCTGTGAACCACAGGCACCCCTCATCCACTCTGCCTGGGGCCCGGCTGTTAGTTGTGTCCCTTCCTGATGAGGTCGACCTCACATGCTCCCCACAAGAAGGCAGAGCAAAGAGGGGGATCCCTCCGCTGGAAGGCAACCTACCCTGCCTGTGAGTCCAGTCAAAACGGGGCCCTCATGCCTCCCTGTGCCATGATGGGTGAATGGGGGACTGTGCATTTTCCTCTATCCCTGACCCTCAGTTTACTATTTACACGATAAATCCTCTTACCTTAACCCATGCTGTGAGATATCTCTGAATTTTTCCTGAGCCCTATTCGACGACAAGTGGAGACCCCAGAGAGCCCCACCACGCAGAGCAATGCTTTGCCAACGTCCTACTTCAGACAAGGCCACGGAGCAAACCCCTTCTCCGCCCTACTCTAATTTCCCTTTCTGCCTCCTCTTCCCCCAATCAATGCCGCCTTCTTTGTCCTGGATCCCCTGGTACCCTAAATCCTTCTTTTTAGGGGAAAAGCTTTCAAGAACTTCATCCTCCACACTGAAGCTTCAGGGACTCAGTTAACTCCGTCTCCCAGGGAGATGTGCACATTTGGGAAAGGCAATGCTCAACAGCTTCAAATGCACCAAGAGAGAGGTGGTGGCATCCACGGAGAAACCGGAAGTAGATTGTCTGGGGGGAGGGAATGTCCCAGGTTCCCCTAAATTAAAACATGGAGATCCTGCCTGTAAGTGAGGCTGCTTCCACTAGCCTTTCACTCTCCTCCTTCTGCACACTATCAAGTTGGGGAGTCGTAGAAGCCTGGACACAGGACAGAGGACACAGGACAGAGGACCAGAGGGCTCCGGCCTAGTTGAGGCAAGGCTGGTGCCCCCACGCTCCCACCTGGCTGCCTCCTCAGGCTGGTTGCCAGGATTCCAGCACCAGGCTGGACGTGTCCTGCCTCCTTCCCCTGTTAGACTGGGGGCTACCAAGAGCAGAGACCCTGTTGGCATCATTCTGTAGTGTTCGAAATGGCCAGCAGGCTACCCCAGATGTAGCAGGGCGTCAAGAAAGCCATGTGTCACCATTCAGAGGGCGGCAGCACTTGGTGCTTATCCTGGCAAAAAAAAGACCCGCTGAATTTTAGGAAGAGGTTCCCTCAGTTCCCAGGAGACCCCTGGCAACTCCTCCCACCCTACCCAATCTCTGCTGATGTTCACCTGCCCAGGCTGCTATTAGGCCATAGAGTATTTTTGTGTAAATTATAAAAAGGTGTGCTTCCCTCTTAGATTCGTATATTTATTAAACTGGGAAGTTGTTTTAATAAATATACAAATCAAGGCCGCCTGTCAGGTGAACGGTGACCCCTCGGGTTGTGCAGTGCACAACCTGCCCACCTTTACCAAACAGCCCTGGACACCACTCTCTCCTCCAATAGCCATGTGTTCCCCAAGTGCACAGAGACCCTTTTGCCTCAGTAGGAATAAGGTGATGGGCCTTGCTCTGAGGCGCCAGGATCCCTTCCGTGTCTGGACATCATGCCCCCCGGTTTCTTCTAAGAGCCCAGTCTGTGTTGGGAACAGTCTTTGATGACACTGTAGTAAACAGGGGTGGCCTCCTGGGGCGGGAGCTCGGGCTGAGCCAGCAGGCACTGAAATGGCCCATGGAAGGCGTCCTGGAAGCGCTGGGACATGAGGGTGTAGACAATGGGGTTGACGGTGCTGTTCACGTAGGTGCAGAGGCGGCAGAAGAGCAGGAAGCCCAGGCTGAGGCAGGGCGGGCTCAGGCAGGAGTTTGCCACCACCGGGGTGTGGTAGGGCAGCCACAGCGGAGCGAAGAGGACCACCACCACAGCCAGCATCTTGGTGACCTGCCAGGCAAGACAGGAAAGAAGGACACATGGGCACCAAGGGAGAATTGCAAAGCCCCAGGTCTCTCCGCGAGCTTTCAAGAGGAGTGAGCCGAAGGAGCAGCCGGGCGTTTGCCAGGCTGTGCCCCCTGCATGCCCTCCCTTAAACTCCATCCACACCGAGAAACCTTCTCTGCATCCTTCCACGCCCTGCTCGAGTCACTTTACTGGGAAACCGCCCGCGCTCCGATCCACCTGCGAAGCCCTGGATGGGCCACCCAGCAAATTCATTAATCCACCAAGCCACAGTCTCTTCCCTCAGAAGATGGAGACACGGCCCTGCACTCCTCACAGGTGGATGTGAGGATGGAGGAGTGAGTGCAGGTAAAGGACCGAGAGCAGTGCCCGGCAGCGCGTAATAAATACCATGTGGGCGACTGCTGCTGCCGCTAACACAGCCTCTACTGCCCTGACCATCACAGTCGCATGGGGTCAGAGCCGGGCAGAGCGAGGCTGGAATCCTCGTCCCCCCACTCACCAGCTGTTGAGCCTTGGACATGCCTCTCTGTCCAGCCACACACCCGCTTCTGGAACTTTCACTCCCGCTGCTCCCCTCCTCCTGAGGCTCCTTCCTGCCTTTGCCCACGACTGCCTGTGACGCCCTCCCCCCCACTCCTCCTCACATCCTGACTCTTCAGACCTCGGCCGCACTTCCCTGAAGCATCGACTAAGTAAAGCCTCCTGGAGGTGGTTCGTGCTGGAAGGGGTTTCAAAAGATGCACAGTTTCTAAATTCCAGAATGAAAATGCCACAAGGGGGCATCTGCCAACGGGAGAGAGGGACATCCCGAATACAGAGAGGCCAGCGGGCACCCAGGCCTCCCCCTACCCTGGGCACTCACTGGCCCCTTCAGAGACCAAACCTTGGGTGATAAAAGTTCTCTTACTGGAGCTTAAATAGCTCAAACAGCCCTGGAACTGGACCTGGCCGGAAAACCCTGGCTACACCCGATCAGCCCTGAGGAATAGGGAGAGACAACTTTCTCATCAAGAAAGAAGTTAGCCTGGAATGTTCCAGCACACGACTGCTTCTCAGAGTCCATGAATTTGGCTCCCATGCGCCACCTCTCCAAAGAGACCTGGCCCTGAGTCAGTAAACTTCAGTGCTAGAATACTCTCCAGGAACCGGAAACCTCAGGAATCCCTAGTCAGTCCTGACTCCTGGTTTTGCCAAATTCAGATTCAATTCCATCCCATTTTAGGTTCATTTGGGTGATAAATACTGGATGGCAGTGTGTGGGCTCTGGAGCCAGGTCCTGGGTTCAAATCTTAGTTCCGGCACTCACCAGTTCTGTAACCTTGGGCAACCCCTCTGTGACTCAGTTTCCTTACCTGTCAAGCTGAGACGGTAACAGTACATACATCACCGAGTTGTAAAAATTCATGAGGTTAACTTGTGACAAGTGCTTGGATCAATGCCTGACACACAGCTAATGCCCAATAAATGTTAGCCATTGTCATTATTGTTATTACTAATATCATTCTTATTATTCTCCACCTTGCACTCCTTGACATTCTGCTTTCATTTAATGCCTCTCCTCTGTTGCAACTGTACATTGCATTCTGCCAGGGCCCTCTTAGGCATCGAAGAAAGCTCAGTCCGTAGACCTCACACTATCAAAAAAGAAATTAATGCTCCCACAGAACAATAATAACAGGTACCATATATTGAACACTTCCTACATGCCGGATTTATAACATTCACTACCATCCATTGAGGTAGATAGGCACTTTATTCTCATTTTACAGAGGAGGAAATCACAGCTCAGAGAGGTGAAGTGACTTACCCAAAGTCACACAGCAAGACATTAGCAAAGTCAGGGGCTAGAACCCAGGTCTGGAATATTCTTTTCATCACCAGAAGTTTCACCTAAAGCATAGGTCAGGCTGGGGTTGGATCCCAGTCCTTCCAGTTTAAACAGAGTAGTAAATAAGCCGCTGGGAGGGAAGGAGGAGCTATTCGCTGGAGCCCAAGGTGGTGATGGGGCCAACGGCCAGAGATGAATATTTCAGACCTGCTCAGCCTGTGTCTCACCCCCTTTCCTCTAAACACCGCCTTGAGCTAAGGTGCCTGCAAGCAGGATGGACCAGAGGGGGTATCTGAGGCTCTGCAGGAGCCCCCAGCAGTGCACCCACCCTGGGAGGCAGGGAGGTGGCTCAGAGGGTCCTTGCCTGGCTCAGGAGTGACTCGGCCAGAACGAGGTATCCTCCCCTTTCCCCCAAAAGCTGAGGGTGGGGCGGAAGGCTGAAGATAAAGACCAGCCGGGCCCTGAGAGCTCTCCTCCCCACCCCACCCCATTCCTAGGAAACCCTTGGGAGGCCACACTTGTGGGGGTGAAGGATATGAGGAGTCCCCACACTTGGGTTCCTGCCCCAGCTCCCTTGCTGTCACCTTCGTCACTCCCTGGTCCCTTCTGGGCCTGTTTCCTTGTCCATAAACGTAGATATCAAACCTCCCCAACAGGGATGATATCAGGAAGGATCACAGAATCAGGCACACAGTAAGTGCTCAATAAATACTGGATCTCTCCTGACCTCACCACAACCCATGCCCCGCTTGGGGTCTCAGGCTCACCGGGTCCCTTGAGGCAACTTAAGTGTCAGATGGACACTTCGTTTTGCCGTCAGTAAAAGAGGAAAAAGGCTACTGTGTAGCTCCTCGTTGTGGAAGTTTAAAAACAAGCAACATTAACGGAGCATTTAGTTTGTGACATGCAGTGGGCTAAAGAATTTACCTAGTTAATCTCATTTCTCAGGACACTCCAACGTGGTCAGCTCTGCCATTCCGGAAACAACAGGAGAGGAAACCGAGGCTCAGAACGTTGATGGTCTCCATAGACACCTCTATTAAGTGGCACAATAGGGATTTGAACTGGAGGAGTTGACTGCAGAAGAGGAGCCCAAGCTTCCACCCATGAATCTGCGGGCTCAGCACAGGGGTCCCAGTGAGGACGGGGTCCCTACCTGCTTCCGGGAGTTGAAGGCGCCTCTCCCGCCCCGGGAGGAGAAGAGAGCTTGACCAGAGGGGCCGCCCTGGTGCGCAGAGCCCGAGCGCCCCGGGTCGCCAGGAGGCAGCGTCCCGAGGAGGAGGACCGGGCTTTGAGCGCGTGGAACACGGCGGCCAGGCCGGGGGCAGCGCGTGGGAGAACGCGGAGGCCAGGAAACAGACGGGCCCGCAGAGGGAACGCGGTACTGCGCTGCACCTGCACCCGGTCGGCGTACGCGGTCTCGTGCGTGTCCACCAGGAAGAGCCAGAGCACGCAGTAGGCGCCAGTGCCCAGCCACCCCCACGCCGCGATGCGCTTGGCCCGCGCCGCGGTGCACAGAGCCCGGGCGCGCAGCGGACGGCAGATGGCGAGGTAGGGCTCCACGGAGAACGCGGCGATGGAGCCTGTGGACGCGCTCATGCCCAAGTACTGCAGGTAGGTGACGCCCGGTCAGCCTGCGTGGCCGAAGACCCAAACCCGGGCCAACGCCGCCTCGGCCACAGTGGGCCCTCCCGCCACAAGAGCACCAGCAGATCCGCCGCGGCCAGGTTCACCAGGTAACGGTTGATTGGTGGGTGTGACCAAGTGGCGGCTCCAGAACACCACCAGGACCACCATGGCGTTGCCTGCCACACCCACGGCACACACGAGGGGCACCAGGGTCAAAGTCGCCATCTGTACAGCCAGCGAAGGCCGGGGCATAGTGCCCAGGCCCGACGCATTCACGCGCTCAGGGCGTTCGGTGGGGTTCTCCATGCGCCCCTGTCCGCGCTGACCCCCTAAGGCCTCGGGGAGTTGGCGAATTCCTCCCAGCTCCAAAGGTGTCCTCCGGGGATCTGGGGACGCTCTTCGTGCGGGAAGCTGGGGGTCCCGCGGCTGTCTTCAACTGAACTGGTTTCTCAGCTCCGTGAAGTGTCTCATGCCGCTGCACGGGACGGTGGGGACTCCGAGGAATCAGGAGCCTGATTCGCTAACCTTTCTGTTCGCCCTCCTTTCCGCGACCACCCCTGGCCGGCTCCTCTGCCGGCGTAGCTGCTCTCTCGGATAGGGCTTGGCTGGTTCTGGTTGCCCCAGCGCAGCGCCAGTTCTTTCCCGCAGCTCCTGGCACCGCACCCTGGACACCCGGGGTCGGGTGGGGGGTGCCGGGTGCCGTGGGGAAGGGATGCTAAAAGAGCAGAGGTTTCTGGCGCCCCACTCGCGCCCTTTGCCCTGGGCTTTCCCTCTCTCCCTTTCCCTTCCTCCCTTCCCCTCCCTCCCTTTCCAGAGTCTACAGGAGCAGCTGCACTGGGCAACCGGGGAGGAGCCCCGGGACACACTTCTGTAATTCTGTCCTGTCTTCACTGGCAGAAACCTCAGCCCTGCTGTTGAGGAATGGGGAACCGAGGCCCAGAGCTGCGGGGAAAGGAAGGAATTTGCCCATCTAGACTCGGGCTGGTCCTGTCTCCTCCTAGACTTTTCACCTGCTTGTCACCTCATCACTTTCTCCTGCTTACCTTTCCCAGCCTTCTTTCCCTCCTCCTGGAGAGGATCTGCGGTCTTAGAGGACGGGCCCCACCCCCACAGGAACTCCTGCCGTGTCTAAGACTGTGCCACTCACGAGGCACAAACCAGCTCGGGGCATTTAGCTCTGTGCCTGCTGCAGAAAAGCTGTGTGATGATAGTGGAATGACCGAAAGAACTTGTTTCTTCACTGGAGAAAGCTTCCTGAAGGTGGGGTCTCATTGACCCTCCTAGAAGGCATAAAGGCTGCTTTCCAGGGGGCCCGGCTCTGGCCGCACGGGGCAGGTGCTGAGGGATTATTCAATGCGGATGATGCATCAGTTACGCTCTCTGAAAATTACTTCATCTGTGAAACGGAATCATAATAACAGGATTCACCTCTGAGTGTCCTTGAGAGGCTCACATGAGCCCTGTGGGGAAAACCCATGTAAAGTGCTGGAACTGTGCTGGTCTGTGGCAAAGGGTGAATGCACTAGAGACTGCAGTTACTGTATCTATGTCTCTCTCCTCCCTCCTTAAGGTCTGAGCACAGTTTGGACCCCAAACTCACAGTCTACAGATCTGATAAGTGGGCGGGAAATGAATGAGAGGAATCTTGGCAGGAGAGTCTTTTGGGGGCACCAGTCAGGGTCCGGGACATCCCGCCTTGTCAGCCTTCATAACAAAGGATGATGTGTGTGTGAAGCACATGTTATCACCTGGTGATGCTGTGTGTGCTTTGCATGTGTTAATTCACTCTGTGCCTGCAACATCCTATGGGGAACGAATCATTAGATCCCCATTTTACAGACAAAGAAACTGAGGACCTGAGCAGTAGCTTGCTCAAGGATACTTAGGTTAGTGTGTAGGGGGGGCTACTGGGATTTGAATCCAGTCATTTGGCGGTGGAGTCCAAGTTCTTACCCACCACACTACACTTCCTCTCAGCATTACCCTCCACCCCAACCCTAGCTGTCCCTTACTCGGCTCTTCCCAAGTGGAAATGGACTAAGTGTGTCTAAAGTGGAACTCACTTTTCCGTATCCCACCTCATCCGTCTCTCGTCTTCCCCACGTCAGTGAAGTCATCTTGGCCAAGGCACCAGTTGCGGAAGCGTCTACCCAGTTGATAGAGTCAAATATTCAGGAAGTCTTATTTCTCCTTCACCCCTGACATCCAATGCTTAAGCAAGTTCCTGAATTCTACCTCCAAAACACACCTCAGATTAATCCACTGTTCACTGCAATGTTGTCTACCAACACTTTTGTCGACCCATCCCCTCTTGTTTGGACAATTGTAATTATTTCCCAGCGGGTCTCTCTGCTACATTTTTGCTCCTAACTCCACAGTTAATTCTTCATACAGAACCAAGTGATCTCTTAAAAATAGAAGGCACTTTTCTGCTTCCGCCCTTCGATGGCATCCTTCCACACTCAAACTGATCCACACTCTTTACCGAAGCCCCAGAATGCTCTGCGTGATGTGGCCCCTCCCTGCCTCTTCCTCTTGCTCCTGATGCTTCACTCATAGCCTCCATCTTTCTATTCAGCCCACATGCTGTAACGGGTTGAATAGCATCCCCCTAAAATTCGTGTCCACCCAGAGCCTCAGAATGTGACCTTATTTGGATGTAGGGTCTTTGCAGATGTGATTAGTTAAGATGAGGTCATACTGGATTAGGGCGGCCCTAAATCTAATGCATGATGTCTTTCTGAGAATGGAGAGGGAGATTCAGCCACAGAGACACAGAGGAGACATTCACAGGGAAGAGGGCCATGTGATGATGGAGGCAGAGATGGCAGTGACGCAGCTACAAGCCAAGGAATGCCAAGGATGGCCAGCACCCACCAGAAGCTAGGAAGAGGCAAGAAAAGATCCTCCCCTTGAGCCTTCATGGGGAGCACGGCTCTGCAGACACCGTGACTTCTGACTTCTAGCCTCCGGAAACTGTAAGAGGATAAGCTTCTGTTGCTTTAAGGCACTCAGTGTGGTAATTTGTTACCGGAGCCCTAGAAGATGTAGAGTTCCTTCCTGCCTCAGAGCCTTTGCACTTGCTGTTCCCTCTACCTGGAATTCTCTCAGGCTACTCATCACATGGCTGGTTCCGGCTCATCCCTCAGGTCGCCACTCAGATCTGTCTCCTCAGAGATGCCTCCCTCAGCCACCCCAGCTAAGGTCACGCCCCCAAATTACTGTGAACCGTGACTCCTCGTTTAATTTTCCTCATAGTACTTACCACCCTGAAATTATTTTGTGGGTTTTTTTGAGGATTTATTTGTTATCTTTCTCATCGCAACAGAATGCAGGCTACATAAGAACCACAGCTTTATCTCCAGTACTCAGACAAGTACCGTGTCCATGGGAGGAACTCAGTAGATATTCGTTAAGCAAACCAATCAAGCAAAGGCTCAGAATGGTTGAAAAAGAAAACTTACTGAGTGTCCCACAGTCAGGCAGTGGCAGAGCTGTGCTTTAAACACAGGCTGTCTAACTCACCACCATTATAGTACATAGTACATGATAGAAATAAAGGACGGAATAAATAAATCCATGCAGGACAATACATGACTCTCACGCGCAGAATTCCTCAGGATTTATGTAGCTCCTCCTCCCTTGGGGGCTATAAGCAGAGTCACTGGATGGTCGTTCTGCTTGACTGCCCACCATCACTTCCATCTGGACAAGTAATTTAAGCCACGCGTTTCACTCTGTTTGCCCAATACCCACAAAAAATGCATTTTACAGAGCATCCCAGTATTCACATACGTACATTCACACGCACATACGTAGAGCTGAAACGAGTTTTACAAAATTACATTTATGCTTCCTATGAGCGATGTCTGCTGGTATTTTCTATTCTACTTCATTTTTTAGAAATACTGGTTACACTCTGCTAATTTGGTTCCTGATCCCCGGTGGTGACAAATGGCTCAGCCAGTGTTGGTCATCCCAATTCCCCTTACCAAGCGACGGGGCTGGGAATAAACAGGAGACTAATTCTAGTTAATGAGTCATGAAGGGGGGGGGATTGTAGGAGGGCTTCTAGAAGGTTCTATTCTTATGTGGCCAGTTGAGAAGGAAGGAGAGGGAGAGACGGAAAGAGAGAGACAGAGAGAGACGGAGTCAGAGAGAGACAAAGAGATCCTGCGCATGCGTGCCTCGGAGAGGGCGTGCCTCCGTCCAGGAGCTCTAAAGGCCTTTCTCCCTGACCTTCCTCCCAGCTTGGTGGAGGAGAGATTGAGCAGTCATCCACGCCACTCTCAGGGGAGGGCTCCCACGGAGAGTCTGCTGCAAACACTCCAGGTGAGGCTACAGAGGGAGCAGGTTGGGTGACTTTGCCCCTGGGCATCTGGGAGCTGGTGCTGGGTGCCTACCCTGTGACTGTCCCTGCGGCCTGCCTCCAAGGGGAGTCATTGGAGGTACACACAGGAGCCCCCTGCAGCCAGATGGGGCTATCGCTGTTCCCAGGAGGGCAGCCGTTCCCTCTCACTCCTGTTTATTATTGCTCGAGGAAGCTCCTCCCAGCATGGGGCTTGGCCTGCTGGTTCTGCAGTTCCCGCCCCTTGGCTTCCTTCAGATAAGCAGTGGAGGCAGAGTCCCTGAGAGGTAGTGAGATGCCTCAAAGCCACCTG